TCGTCAATCTGTTTTATTTTTTTCCCCTTTTCTTGGAGCGGGGGGCTTATATAAGTCCTCTTTTTTTTTTTTAATTTACATTACATAAATTTACATTTAAAAAAAAAATTACATTTAGGCACATCTTTATAGTACAACATAAGGTTTTCCCCAGCATGGATACAACGCATATCAGTCAAGTCAAAGACATTGTCATATCAATTATCATCAGCAGGCAATTTTTTTTTTTTTTGAGAGGTTTTTGCTATAGGGGCACGTGCGCTCGCCAGACAGAGTAGTAGAGAGCTAGAAAGCGATAAATCACCCCCCAGGGGGAATGGTCATGCCACAGTTCCTTCTCCTCCATTCTCCTCTCTGGATCTTGGGCATGTGTGCACACGTGCGCGGCGTGAGTTTTAAGCCGCAGGGTCAGGAACGGAACCGCGGTAGACTACATGGGAGTCCAGCAACATAGCCATTACGCTAACTGCTGGTCCCAACAGGTAAATTTTTATTTTTGTTATCTCTGATCCACTCCATCGTCCCCTTGTATGTATGTCTTCCACCCAGTCTGTGCGTTAATTGGAGAATTTAATTCATTGACATTCAACATGTGTGAATTGACTCATGCTATTTTGTTAGTCATTTTCTTAGTTGCTTTGTATTTTATTTGTTCTTGTCTGTCTTTCCTATCCTTGAAATATCAAAAGTGTAATTCCTTTAGTATTTTTTTGAGGAGCTGGTCTGGGGTTAGTAAAATCTTTCAGTTTTTGTTTATCTGCGAATGATTTTTTGTTGTTTTCTTTTTATTCAGTTTTTACTTAGGAAAATGTCAAACATATAAAAGTAGAGATTAACATATATAATGTATCATTTAACCATCACTCAGCTTCAACCATTATCAAGGCCAATCTTTTTTCATTAAGAACTCCAATGCACTTAAGATACAGTCTCATTATTTTAAAGGCACTCCCAGACATCAGATCATTTCAACCATAAATACTTGAGAATGTAGACGAGAACTCGTTTCCAGTAAAATCAGAATATTATCCCAACTAATATTAACTATCCAGTTCGTATTCAAATCATCCATTGTCTCATTAAAGTATTCATTTTACAGATCCACACAATTGGCTAATATATCCCTAGGTCTCTTTTTTTATTTTCTTTTTCTTTTTTTTTTTTTTTTTTATTTTGCTATAGGGCACATGCAATTGCCAAAAAACAGAGATGGGGAGACAGAAAGTGAGAAATCACCCTGTGGAGTGGGGTGGGAGGGGGGGTTGTTGGTGGCCACTCCTCAATCCTTTCTCCTCCATTCTCCTCTTGGGATCTTAGGCACACACGCACAAGCACCCGGTATAAGTTTAAGCCACCAGGCCCGGGACTCAACCCACAGTTGATTACAGGGGAGTCCAGCGACAGCCATTATGCCAATTGCTGGTCCTCCTTAAGTCTCTTTTAAGTTATAGGTTCAACTTCCCTCTCTTTCAATTTTTGCAATTTATTTACTGAAGAACTGGATCTTTTGTTTTGCAGTTTCCTGTGGTCTGGATTCTGTTGATCTCATCTCTGTGGTGTAATGTATTTCTCTATCCCCTGTATTTTCTATTGATTATGAATTATATCTAGAGAGATGGTCAAATTTAGGTTCAAAATTTTGGCAAATATATCTCATGGGTGGTGTAATATAATGCCATCAGGAGACATACAACAGTCGAGATGACATATGAAAGAATTTTTGCTTTCTAATATCTCACAACTGCCTTAAAACAGTTGTGTGACACTTGATATGCAAAAGCCTCGTAAATGCTAGACAGATTAGAAGATGAAAGTTTTACCTTTTGGTGTCATTATAAAATATTAATTAGTTAAACAAACTTTAGTGATACCTACAATGTTTCCAGCAATGTTTTGTATGTTAGGTATTAAAAAAAGACTAAGGAATCAAGTTCCTTGCATTCATGGTCATTATAATCTGGTGGAAAATACAGATCCATAATCATAAAAGCACAGAAAAAGGCCCTAAGTACCAAATTAAAATTTTGTACAGTTACAGCGGTAGTGCAATGACCTGGAAGATAATCACTGGAATAAAGAAGTATCCACAAGCATAAGATAAGCTGTGTCCTTGGAAGTGCGAAAGATCTCACCTGTGCTTCACCGGTGATTCCATTGATCATTCGTTTCACATACTTGAGTCTTTCAAAGTAAATCTGAACAACATTTATGTCATTCACATGTGCATTCTGTTCTTGCGACCTTCCTTGGTTCTGTTGGAACACTCCTAGGAGCCCGCCCAACTTCTCCTTGACTCCCACCTTTTCATACACCCAGATTGCCTCTCCATCTGGCTCATCCTCGGGCTCCACGCCTCCGCCTGGCAAGACCCAGCGGTCGAGGTATCTGGCAGCTGCTCACATAACAGCACCTCGTCCTCCCACTTGCTGTGGGAGCACAGACATACCACTGGCTTCTTGAACCCCTCTCGGGGTCGTAGTAGGTTCGCGTCAGCTGCCCGAGCCTTTGGTCGTGCGCATCCCGACCAAACTATTTTACCTTGGTTAACATAGTTTCTCTTTCAGCAGTTTGAGTATGTCTTCCTATTCTTTGCTTGCCAGCATTGCTGCAGTTCCGAGATCTGGATATTTGCCTTCTAAGATAAACTTTGTAAGTACTGATGCTTCTCTCTTGCCACTTTAAGAATCTTCTCTTAGGGAACCAGCAGTTAGCGTAATGGCTATGTCGCTGGACTCCAACGTAGTCGACTGCAGTTTGAGTCCCAGACCCGGTGGCTTAAAACACACGCCGAGTGCGTGTGCCTGTGTGCCCAAGATCCATGGAGGAGAAGGGATTGCAGTGTGACCAACACCCCTGGGGGGGGGGGGGATTTCTCGTTTTCTGTCTCTCTGTCTCTCTCTGTCTGGCTGGCGAGCGCACAGGCCCTATAGTGAAAATCTCTCAAAAAAAAAAAAATCTTCTCTTTGTCTTTGATTTTTACCAATCCGACTATGATAGGTCATGGGAAGATCTTATGTGGATTCTATTTGGTGTTCTTCAAGCTTTTCTGATACATAAATCTTTTTGTTTCTCTAGATGAGAAAATTTCAGATACTATTTTATGGGAGAGTTTTTCTATGTCTTTACCAGCTTCTTGGTTTTCTGGAATACCCATTATATGAATATTTAGACATTTGGTGGTGTCTAATATTTTCCATACGTTGTCTTTAATTTCTTGTTTGTTTATTTTTTTCATTCTATTTGGTGGATTGAACTAAGTGAGATGCTTTGTCTTCAATCCAGATCAGGGATTCTATGTTTTGAATGATCCAAAAACAAACAAACAAACAAAAACTGTCTATGCTTTTAGGGGCAATTTGATTTCTTGGATTGTATTCTTCATATTCAAGAGTTGTTTTTGAGTATTTTTTCTGGTCTCTGACTCTTTGTGAAACTCTTTTTTTATGTCACAGAATGATTTTCTCATCTCCTGAAATTGACTGGCTGTTTTTCCTTGCATTGCACTGAGTCTTGTTAGCTAAAATGTTCTGAGTTATTTCTTTGACGTTCTTGGGAACACCTTTGTGTTGTCTGAAATGTTGTTCCTCTGTGGAAGTAAAATCTGCTCATTTTCCTACTTTTTCTGTGTGTGTGTGTCTCTACACTCGTTTCTCGTGTACTAGGAGAACCTCCTGCCAGACAGGAGCTTCGAAGTGTTCAAATTCTTCAGGCTCTGTTGGGCAGGGGCATTCTCTTTTGAGACCTCATCTCCTTCAGGGTGTGGAGAACTGACTGTAGATCTGAGGAGAGTGTGTTTCTCCTTGGGGTAGAGTAAAATGGGCATAAGTGGGGTGGGAGGGGCTGGGAGGCCAACATTTTTCCCCCTGAAGTTGCTTGGTTGCTTGTACTCTTGCTTCCCTCTAATGTACGTTAGTTTAGTAACATGCCTTTTTTTCTTTTTTTAATTCTTCTTTGGGTAAGGTTGCAGGAATCTATGGCAGTAGCCTGGGATTCAGAGTTTGCGATGGTTGCAGTGGTGGTGGGGGGAGGGGTTTCTCTCAATTCTCTCCTCCAGAAGGGAAACTGGGGAGTGAGAAGATGCTCTCCAGAGCCTCATTGGCTTTAGGCAGTTGACTCCTAGGTGCTTTTGCAAGGAGAAGCCATGCCATTTGGAGGTTACAGCTAACTTTCTCTTACCCTCCCCCTCCCTCAATGTATGAACTGATTCTGTTTGTAGAGGCTGCTCTCAGGCAGTGGCCACACTTGGGATCCTGTGGGCTGTGCAGGCAGTGGCGATTGTCTCCCCTGCCCCCACCCTGCCTGCCTCACTCAGTAGCCATACTTCCCTGATCTACTCCAACGTCTCTGGTCCAGAAGCAGCCAGGGGCTCAGCTAGTGTATAGTGAGATGGAGTAATGCAGAGCATCGAGTAGCAGGGGTGCATCGGCAGGGGTGCATCCGGTGGCAGGGGTGCATCGGCAGCAGGAAGTCAGGAATCTGGGGCTGTCGGGGCCAGTGCCAGGTGCCCTTCCCTTTTTATTGCTACTTTCAAAAAATTATTCTTGTTAAAGTAGATTAGAGCCTTCTCTGTGGTGTACTGGTAATACAGAAGCCAGATCCCACTTGATTACCAGGCTTCAAATTCTCAGCCTCATCAGCCTAATCATGCTGGACATGCACATGAATGCCCAAAGTCTGGTGGATTGGAGGCCTGGAGGAAGAGGAGAACTGCATGACCATACCCTGTGGAGGGTGCTTCTTTCTCCTGTCTCTCTCTCTCTCTCAAGCACATACTTTACCATGAATAAAGAAAGCAATAGGTAACCAAATATTATTTACTTAAAAGGAGTCTTGTCAACCTATCAAATGATCCAAACCCCATATATGACAGAAACAATAGTGCAACAGCCTGCCATTTATACAAAATACCATTTTAATCTCAACTTAAGAAAAAAAGAAACCATATCAGTGAACATGTAATTTTATTGCTCACATAAGGGAATCACAGTTATTTTTTATGGTCATCAACCTAATTTTGAATCGCTGTTATCTTTGCATACTCCCTTATATTCTTTTGGTAGAAGATCAGTTGGAATTAGGAGGATGTTCATATAAGGAGGGTGGTTGATGAGGTGGCCTTGAAGGAGAGGCAGCAGTTGAATCAACTCTCATAGGCATCGGGAACCATGGGATTC